ACAGTTAAATTAATGAATGACAGGGTTTTATAAAATTTATGTATTATTATATTTAATATTCTAAATGGTTATTTTTATTATTAAGTATTAACCACACCCACACCCACACCCACACCCACACCCACGACCCACGAGTTGTACCCACGACCCACGACCATTAGTCAAACTCGTTTAGAACTATAAGTGGCCTCCATCTCCTGTCAAAACCCCGGTCAAACCCTAACCACAACAATACGTAGATTTCCAAAACAATAAAAAAGCCGGAAATTCATCATGCAAAATAATCACGATTCATGATTAATTCAGCTCTTAAATCACGGGTAACGTTCAAATAAAAAAGTTCGTTCACATAGACATGAAAAGGTGTTATTATCTTCACGAATACAAAAAAAAAATACTCAAATCACGATTCACGAGGAAAAAAATCTCCCAATCACGCTTCACGCAAAAAGTATAGGGAATCCTCGGATAAGTGATAGCGAAACGCTACGCTATCCATATCCACTGGATAGAGATTTATTCAGTCGGATAGTGTTATCCAACCTTCGAACAACTGGGGCCTGGAGGTTTGCTTTCAAATTACTCCATACTATGAAAATTAGACTATCAAACTGGATTACGGGGTCAGACACTATTTATCCAAAAATATTTATCCAAAAAAACCAACGATGCTAATATCCAGCCATCTTGACCGAACAAGCTTGGTCAATAAAGTAGTTATTCACAAGTTAACTGTGAAAACTGTCGTTTCGTCCGATAGGAATTTTTTTTCTCTGATAAGAGTTTAAGAGCATCATGAAAACAAAACTAAACAGCTGTGAATTTGCGTTTCTTTAAACCAAGAAAAAAAGAAGAACATCAGGAGGAGGCGCCAGCCTTTATGACGAAGCAAATGCCCAACATAGCGCATGACACACTGACAAGAGCTCCGCCTCAAACGTTTCTGACTCGTCCTCTAACTTGCACTATGAAGATAATTCCTCTGAATTCGAACAACACTTATCATACAACGCTGATGAGAAAAGGTTTAGCTGGAATGGAACCCTTGAAGAGCTTGAAAGTTCTGTCGATACAAAACTTTCGTGGCTGATCGATGATGGCGACAACGGTTTCAAGACAAAGAAGTCATACAACAGCTCTAGTGTTATCCTAAAGCTATCGAATGTAACACTTTTAACTTCTACCGTAACACCAAGACGCTTCAAGTGCAAGGGAAAGCGGCCGAAGATGTTAGAGGCATTCTTAATGAAATGAGTCAAAATAACTTGCTTGTTGCGAACTTAACCGGAGATACTGCCGAGCACAACATGGACTCCGCTGTCATCAATGAAGAACATATTTCTACAGTGAACAACACTTTGATAACTGACTGATAACTGATAATGACTGGCAACCCTTAAAACCCTCAAACCTTTAAAAACGAAATTGACAAACAAACTCTGGAAAGCCATAAACGCCATTCAACGAAAATTTCAATTTTCCGTGAATCTGTCCCGAGTGGATGCGTTGCAACGTGAAATTGATGAATACAAATTGAAATGCGCCGCGTACGAAGTAAAGATCCAAGAACTTCAACAAGAAAAAGCAAGTCTGATGGAATCTATTAAAGTTCTCTCTTCGGATCAATCGGTAGGTTCACACGATCTACAACCAGCCTCTAATGACTGGCAACCCGTTAAGTCAAACAAGTCACGAGGGAAGAAGAAAAAGAAAGGGAAAGTCAGTTCCGAGAACCAGCAACTACAAATGGAAAATAACGATACTAGTGAGAACGGCCAAAGGGAGCAAAGACCTAATGAAGATACAATTATTGTTGGAGATTCGATTGTCAAAGGATTACGCAAGGACTTATTAAGTCGGGCGGCTAAACGGCGCGTAACCGTGAGAAGTTTCCCTGGTGCTACAACCGCAGACATGGAGCATTATCTACAACCAAGCTTGGCAACAAAACCGAAGGCGATAATCCTCCATGTTGGAACCAACGATCTGAAAAATTTATCAACTGCTCGGGATGTGGCAGAGAAAATCGTTGATGTGGGGAATATGATTGCTACAAACTCTCCTAACACTAGTGTAACCATTTCCGCAATGACACAAAGATTAGACGAAGAATCGCTCACAAGGAAAGTAAAGGACTGCAACAAAGTTTTAAAAACATTTTGTAATCAGAATGGCTGGGGCTTTGTCGAACACTTGAACATCGACGAAACATGTCTGAACAATTAGAAAACTCCATCTCAACAAGAAAGGTTTTGCTATTTTAGCGAGTAGTTTTGTAAATATACTTCATTGATACGATTCTTACGTGACAACTGTGGCGACACCTAACCTCACTATCACCTCTGGTGCCCGGATCAGGTCAACTCTAATGCCAAAGTGTCGTGGATTCAAAATGAATAGTTTGAATGTTGCAAGCCTTTTGAAACATATTGATGAACTTCGTGTTTTTCTAAATGATCAAAACATCGACGTTCTAGCCATAAATGAGACCAGACTAAGGAAAGTATTTTCGATCGGGAGGTTAAAGTCCAGGGTTATGATTTAATACGTCGTGACAGATCAACAAAAGGTAGGTTAGGTGGTGGCGTATGTTTTTACATTCGTTCAAACATAAGCCATCTTGTCCGCACAGATTTGGACAATCAGCTCCTGGAATTAACATCAATGGATCCCCAGGGATCCATCTTAGGCCCCGTGCTATTTACTCTTTACGTGAACGATCTTCTCCAGGTCCCTAAACACTGTAGAGCACTGGGTTACGTGGATGACACCAACGTTTTTATGGCACTTCCTTCTAGTCAGCTTTCGGAACCTGTGGCTGCTGTAAACCAAGACCTCAGGGATATAATAATATCCAGTTGTGCCCACTCTCTGCTAATCAACCCCGACAAGACAAAACTAATTTTTGTTGGCGTTCCGCAACTTACAAGAAGTATATTAACTTTACCACCTGTAATGCTGCTAGGGAAGGAAGTAAAGCCTTCCTCTGTTACCAAAGACTTGGCTGTACACATCGATTGTCACCTTAACTATAACGAACATATTGCGAAAACTGCTTCAACCTGTACATACATGTTAAACCGCGTTAATAGGATAAAACCTCCTGGACAGTAAAACTCTTGTTTTCTTGATGAACACTTTTATATTTAGTAGGTTATATTATTGCTCCACGGTTTGGAGCAATACGACAAAAGAAAACATCAAAAAACTTAAATTAATCCAAAATTTCGCATGTAGAATCGTTTTAGGCCTTAAGAAATACGACCATGTCACGGAAGGCCTGAAATCTCTAAATTGGCTCAATGTGAACGATAGACTGCTTATAAACGACTTATTAATGGTCCATAAGTGTATTCATGACCAGATACCCAGCTACCTTACTGGAAAATTTATTCAGCGTTCGAAGATTCACGACAGAAACACTAGATACAGTGGTGAATTAGACCTCCCAATTTGTAGATTAAAAACAGGGCAACGATCATTTGCTTTTCGGGGTGCAAAGCTGTATAATAACATTCCAAACGAGATTAAGAAAACCTCTGACGTAAAAAAGTTTAAGGCTTAAGTCTATAATTATTTTTTAAATCTGTAATTTTTAATTTTAGCATATTATGAAAAATTCATGTAATTAGTTGTTAGCATTGATGGCGGAAGAGCCCTAGACAGGGAGCTGTTCAAATAATGTATGTATGTATGTATGTATGTATATATTGAAATTCGTAAACATAACTCAAAACCCTTTGTTAGTACTTCATGGTACAGACCCCCAAATTCACCTCATGAGCTCTTCGCACACGTTAACACATTATTAGGCAAATCAGATTCTGAAAACGTAGAACATTTTCTTCTGGGGGATCCAAATTGTGACTTGCAATCCAAAGATAATGTTAATGTGAAAGCTCTTTTAAACATAACAGACATTTATGGATTGGATCAACAAATTAACGAACCTACCCGAATTACACCTACTACAAGTACATTAATTGATCTGATTTTTACAAATCGATCAGAGAATGTGTATTGTTCGGGGGTGTCTCATGTCGCCATAAGTGACCACAGTCTAGTTGATGCATATCCAAAAATCTCAATTCCCACTCTATTCAAGAGAGTTAACTTGATAACATATAGACAGTTTAAACATTTTAATAGAGCAAATCTTTTTGCGGATATCTTAGCCCAACCTTGGGCTAAGATATCCGCATAAGGCAATTGTATGATCCTAATGATATGTGGAAGAAGTGGAAAGAAATATTCCTGAATGTGTGTGAAAAGTATGCACCGATGAAGACCAAACGGACACGAGATTCTAAATCCCCATGGATAACCACTATTTTGAAAAAGCGGATGAATTTCAGAGACCGCCTCAAAAGAAAGGCTATCAAGACAAAAGACCCACTTATTTGGAACCAATTTCGAATGGTTAAAAATCAAGTGAACTGGGAAGTTAATAGCGCGAAAAAAGCCTATTATGAAAATGCCTTCAACAATTGCTGTGGGGATCAATGGAAAACATAGAAAACAATCAATGAACTGACCTCACGAAAGTCCGATAAAACTGTTATTAATGAGATGGAATACAATGGGGTAAATGGAAACCAAACAGATATAGCAGAAATGCTAAACTAATTTTTCACAGAAATTGGGCCAAGCCCTAGTAGAGACGTGACAGAAGTTGATAAATCCTTCGAAGAATTTCTTACTGAAACTGATAAAAATTTTGTTTTTGAAAAAACAACACCAACACATGTTTTTGAACTACTATCAAAGCTCTGCAAGTCAAAGGCGACTGGATTGGATAACATTTCTGCGAAACTTCTGAGAGAATGTCCTGATGTATTAGCGGAATCTCTTACTCATATATTTAATCAATCCCTAATGACTGGCATCATTCCCGATGAGTGGAAATCTGCCAGAGTCACCCCAAAGTACAAAACTTCCGGGAAGCGCTCCAATCCAACGAATTATCGACCAATATCAGTAATTCCAGTTGTGGTCAAAGTCTTTGAATGGATAATCTACGATCAGCTTCATCATTATTTAACTAAAAACAACTTTCTCTCGTGCCATCAATCTGGTTTTCGGTCTTTGCATTCCACGCTCACAGCACTTATCGAAGCTACAGATAGCTGGGCAGTGGATATAGACCGTGGTCTTGTTAATACCATAGTCTTTTTAGACCTCAAAAAGGCATTTGATACGGTAGATCACGATATTTTATTACGAAAACTGCAATACTGTGGGATTTGTTGGACCAGCCATCAATGGTTTCCTTCTTATTTAGATAACCGAACACAGATTTGTCATTTAAATTCTTGTAAGTCAACTCCGAAATGTCTGAGATGTGGTGTTCCCCAGGGAACAATTTTGGGACCTTTTATTTTTGATATATATATTAATGACTTACCACATTGTTTGACATATTCTGAACCTAGAATGTATGCAGATGATACCAGCCTGACGCTTGCCAGTACTGACATTGAGCATACAAATTATTGCCTTAATCACGACCTGAGCAATGTGTACGAATGGCTCTCTGCTAACAAACTTACCTTCAATATGACAAAAACTGAGTTCATGCTTATTGCATCAAGGCAGAAGTTATCACAATTTACGGAAAGTCCCTCTCTTATTATAAACGAAAACGCAATCGAACAGGTAACCTCCGCTAAATCCCTTGGAGTTTATGTCGATCAAAATATAAATTGGGAGTGTCCTATTGAAAACATCTCTAAGAAGATAGCTTGT